TCTCTCTCTCTCTCTCTTTCTCTCTCTCTCTATCTCACTCTCTCTCTCTCTCTCTCTCTCTCTCTCTCTCTCGTTCTCCCCCTCTTTCTCTTTTCTCTCTCCTCTGTCTCTCGCTATGGTCATGCTATGGAACAATCACTGCTTATGTTCATTTTGATTGATACCATCTGCCAGCAATGCCACAATGAGAAGAGGGAGGAAAGAGAAGGAGGAGGTGTGGTCGCGCAAGGGGGTGAGGAGGAGAGAGGAGGTGCCGGTGGCCGTGCAGAGGGAGGAGGACTAGGGACAGGAGGAGTGTCTGTCTACAGGAGGAGGAGAAGGAGGAGGAGGAGTGGAGGAGGAGTGGAGGAGGAGGAATGAAGGAGTGGAGGAGGAGGAGTGGAGGAGGAGGAGGGGGAGAGGAGGAGGAGGAGGAGGGGGAGAAGGTAGCGGAGGGCCAGGTGGTGGAGGAGGAGGGGAGAAGGTGGTGGAGGAGGAGGAAGGGGGAGAAGGTGGAGGAGGAGGAGAGGAGGAGTGGAGGAGGAGTGGAGGAGGAGGAATGAAGGAGTGGAGGAGGAGGAGTGGAGGAGGAGGAGGAGGAGTGGAGGAGGAGGAAGAGTAAAGGAGGGGTGGAGGAGGAGGAGTAGAGGAGGAGGAGGAGGAGTGGAGGAGGAGTGGAGTGGAGGAGGAGGAGGAGGAGGAGGAGGCGGTGTGTCTGTCGTCGTCTACAGAGAGGTACGCATCGCTGGGGTTCAGGCTGAACGTACATGCATGCAGGTATATAGCGTGCAGACTCCAGCAACATGGGTGTCCAGCCGAGAAAGATGCGAGCTGGAGATTTCTCGATTCCAGGCACACACACACGCACGCACGCACGCGCACGCACCCGCACAGATTTACACACACACAGGCCCTTATGCATACATATCCACACGCACATAAGACATGCACACGCACACACGCACGCACGCACACACGCACGCACGCACGCACACCAGGATGCACTCACGCACACATATGCGCGCACACAACTTCACAAAACTCACGCATGCGCGCCGCGCATATGCGCGCACATGCCACATATATAACAGCATCACCATCATCATCATTATCATCAACATCATCATCATCATCATCATCATCATCATCATCATCATCATACATATATATATATATATATATATATGCACATGGCCTCCCACACATGATGGCAGATGCGAGAGAGACACAAGATGAACGAACAATTCTAACTAGACCTACGACACGATGATCGAGGGATACCCTCTTTCTACACACAGGGTTGGGTTTCAGTGCGGAGCCGTACGCACGCCACGACGGTCGCCGCCGCTCTAGTGATCACCTATCACAGTCCGCGAGGGAAGATTCTGACCTTTGAAGGTTTAAAAGCGAGACGCGAGTGGG